TCCCAGCTTCCTCCAGCAGGATCACCTGGGGCGAGGAGGGAAGCCCCCAAAACCCCCGTCACCCTCCAAGCCTCCAGCACCTGAAGCCACCACGGTTGGTGGGGCTGAAGAGCATCTTCTGAGGGAGGGGACCCCAAGACCCTGCAGTAAATATTGTGGGGGTGATCCAGCCATCCGCATCTCACTGATTACCTACATTTTTTGGGGTCCCCATTGCCCCCTATGGGGGTTCCTAACGTGCCATGAAGGTCCCCAACCCCACCTGGTCACGGAAGGGCAGGTTGGAGAAGACGGGCAGGTTTTTGGCCCATTTGACGGCCATGAAGAGGAGACGTGCTGAGGTCTCATAGACGTTTTCGGGGCTGGCCACTGGGTACGGGGCCACCTGGTACTCGCCGGTCGCCCGCTCTGGCTCACTGCCCGTCACGTCCACCGTCTCGTCCGCTGTGGGGACAGAAGAGGACGCTGGTGGTCACCACACCATGGGGACAACTCCCACCCGTCCCCTCCGCACCGGCAGCCACCCACCATCCTCGGGCTCCAGCTTGGCGCAGGTCTCGGCCGTCATCAGGCTGGCCATGAAGCGATGGTTGGTGGGCGGCGTGGGCGCTCGGGGACCCGGGGTGACAGTGACGGTGGCACCGGGACCACGGGGAGCCGGACAGGGTGTGGGGGGGACCTCACGAGTGGTGGCCACGTGCTCGGGGGGCAGCTCGGCGTCCAGCTCAATGCTGTCCAGCCGGACCTGGGCTGTGCTGCGGGGCTGCCGCTCGTTCTGCACAGCTGCGAGGACAAAGGTGGCATCAACTCTGGCCGCCCTGCTGTCACACACACCCCCATCATCTGTCACCGTGTGTCATCCCCCCCACCACCCATCTCACCATCCTTGTTCATGCCGGCTTGCAGGCACTTCTTGAGCCGGCAGGCCTGGCACTGGTTGCGGTGCGCTTTGTCCACCGGGCACAGCCCCGTCCCCGCCTGGCACCTATGGGGAGAGGTGGCACCTGGCTGCAGACCCTGGGGTGGTCCCTGTCCCTCAGGGGTGTCCTGCCTCCATGGGTGCCATGTCCTGGGGGTGCTTTCTCCTTCCTGGGTGTCTTCTCCCCTCCCTCCCCGTGTGTGTCCTCCACGCAACAGGTGCCCGACCCCAACGGGCACCCTGTCCCCAGTGGGTGCCCTGTCCACTCCATGAGTGAGGGGACAGCGAATACCCTGCTTTGATGGGTGTCCTGCTCCATGGGTGCCATGGACATCCCCCCACCAAGGTCCCATTGGGTGCCTGTTCCTCTAGTTCCTGGCCCACCGAGTGTCCATCCTCAAGGTCCCTGTCCCACTGGGTGCCCACCTCCTTGATCCCTGTCCCTTTGGGTGTCCATTCCCCTGGTCCCTACCCCACTGGGTTTCTGTCCCCGGGTCCCTGCCCCATTGGGTGTCCATGCCCTGAGGTCCCTACCCTGCTGGGTGTCCATCCCATGGGTCCCTACCCCACTGGTGCCTGTCCCCCCTAGTCCCTGCCCCTCTGAGTGTCCATCCCTGGGTTCCTGCCCTTCTGGCTGCCCATCCTCCTGGTCCCTGCCCCATGAGGACCCTCCACCCCGATCCCCACCTGTAGATGAGCTTCCTGCGGACGCTCCGCTTGAAGAAGCCGCTGCAGCCGTTGCAGGCGTAGATCCCGTAGTGCTTCCCACTGCTGGTGTCCCCGCACACCTTGCACAGCAGCACGGGGCTCAGCGCCTTGCCGGGGGCTGGGCTCAGCCCTGCGGGAGTGGAGCCACCACATTTGGGGTGACTCAGGACACCCCAATGTCCCTTGTCCCGCCCACAAGTCCCTGCTGCCCCCCAGCATGCTGGCGATGGGGTGTTTTCCACCTCCACTGTCCCAGCCCAGGGACATGGATGGGGACACCTCGGGGACTCCAGGGATTGCACACAGGGTTCGGCATCCCAGCACCCGGGATGCTGTGGGATGAGCTCTCATGGGACTTTTAGAAGGGGATGAAATGATATCCCTAGGGACGGGGACACCAAGTGTCCCAGTGAGGGGATGCCGAACATCAGAGAAAAGGGCCACAACCAGGGACTGAAGGTGTCCTGGAGAAGGGTATCCCAGCAAGGGGCCATGGGCATCCCAGAGAAGGGTCACAGCAGGGGACCACAGAGAACCTGGAGAAGGGCCAGGGGCAATGGGCATCCAGGGGAGGGTTGTGGCTGGGGACCGCAGGCATTCAGAAGGGACCCTGGGGATCCTTGAGAAAGACCATGATAAGGACCATGGGCATGGTGACAAGGGTTGGAGTCTGGGACGGCAGGTATCCTAGCCCAGAGAAGGACCACAATATGGACCCCCAGCATCTTGGAGAATGGAAATAGCTGAGAACCCCAGGCACCCTGGAGAAGGACCACGATGGAGTTCCTGGGCATCCTGGAGAAGGCCCACAGTGGGGGACCCCAGATATCTTGGAGAAGGACCATGATGGGGACTCCAGCCATACCTGAGAAGGACCATGATGGGGACCCCAGCCATCCTGGAGAAGTCCGTCACAGGGACCCCAGGCATCTTGGAGATGGACCACGATGGGGATCCCCTAACCATCTCAGAGAACGACCCCACCGGTGACCGCGCTCCCGCCATTGTCGCACCCGCTCCAGCAGAACACCACCACCTCTTACCCGTGGGGCTATCATCCAGCCCGGCGCTCACCACCGACCCCGCCGGCGAC